TGAACGCTATATTTATTTGTTGCCTACTGATTGTTTTGGTGTTGTCTGTTGCCTAAAAAGAAAGAAAAAAAAATTTAGATGGATTAAACGATTGTGGGGTAGGGAAAAAAAAACGAGAAGGTTGAAAAGGAGATGGGAAAAAAAGGCTGAGCTCTCAATATGTGTTGCAAATGCAAAAGTGAGAAGAAGAAGAAGAAGAAGACGAAGACGAAGAAAAAAAAAGAAGACTTACAAAAAAACAAGGGAATAAAAAGGAGAACAAAGAAGTGAAAGCTTTTAATGATGAAATTTATTAAAATAAACAAATAGCATAAGGAGGAAAAAAAAGTAGGAGAAAAGCAAAAAGAACAATAATACAAGTATTATCATCAAAAATTTTAGCCCTTTCTTTTCTTGCTCTTTTTTCTTCTTCTCCTTCTACTTCGTTTTGGTTGTTTCCTCCTCTCTCCTTCCTTTCATCCTAAGTTTTCATGCTCTCAATACAATTGATATCACTAAATGAACTGTAAAGGTGCAAAGCTTGAGAAAGATGTCAGTTAGGTGAAATAATTTTGAGTAGCAACGGCAGTTGCAGCAAATTAGAAAGTTTTTGATGATTTCTGGAATACCGTATGTTTTCAGTTACTTCTGTATTTTCGGCTAAATATTTTAGAAGAATTACAGTGGTTTTTGGTTTTCACCGTATAAAATTGCAACTGGAAATTTGGCAGCGGTTGGAACGGAAGAGCGTTGATTTTTTTCAATGGTTAAAATATGCAAAAGTGGAACTAAAAATTCCTTATTTTATTCATTTTTTGTTGTTATTATCATTATTATTATTATTATTATTATTATTATTATTACCATTTTTTCGTTTTTTGTATGCACTGTCTATGTGTTCTTTTTTTTTTTTTCTAGAAATGGAGCTATGGAGAGGTTTACAGTGTTCAGTAGGAAGCGGAAGAAGATGGGGAAGAAGGAAAGAATCTGTTTTTTTTTAATCTTGGAGAAAAGAATTCTGCATTGATTTTCATTTTTTGTTTAGGAAGCAATTTGTTTGGAAACTTTGTATATAAGAAAAGAGAAAAAAGTGGTCAACTACTGTTGCAAAAAATAAATAAGAAAAAACAGAAAACAATAAAAAAGTAAAATAAAAAATCCAAAATTCTTCTCAGTTTTTATTTTACATTTTAAAATTATATAACCCATCAATGGACTTGTCTCTATAAGCCCCGAAATATTTCTCCTTCATTTTTTTTTGCGATTTTTTTATTTTCTTTCAATAAATTCCTCTCTCCTTTCCCGTTTTCTTCTCATTGCTTACTAGAAAAGGAAAAAAAGAAGCATAAGAGAAAGGAGGATAAAATGCATACAGATATTTATGAAACAGTTCTTTCTCCGATTTTTATTTCCCCCAAACTTTAGCAGAATAGGTTTAATAGAATTTTATAGAAAATAAATTGATGAAAAAATCTTTTTAATTTATGATTACTGCGAAATAACGATTCTTCAAATTAACGGTGATAATGATAAAACTTTAAGATAAGTTTTTTCTTCTTGGACTTATTGATGTGTTGAGTAAGTTAGCCCTTATATTTCTTGAGAAGAAATATTTAATGATGATGACAACAGCCTGGGCGATATGCTTTTATAATGTGGCTAAACGACATGGATTTAAGCTCTATTTTCTTTTCTTCATTTTCTTACCCATTTAAAAATACATACAAAAAAAAACTCTTTGATTTAATGTGAAAATTAAAGGGTTAAATGTACGAAAAAAAAAGCAGATGGATAGTCAGTGCTGTATGTGCAGAAAAGGGTAAAGGCAAAATCAAAAGCTAAAAAAACGGGAAGGATGAGAGCTGATTGCCTTCGTGAAATCATTACAATTACCACCGTTGTCGTCCAAAACAGCACTGTATCGGCAGTTGCAGCAGCAGCAGCAGCAGCAGTTATGGGTATTCGAGAAACCAACCTATCCAAAAATAATAGACGATGATGATGACCGCTGACATGGTTTTTTTCTTTTTTTTTTACTGACTTGCCGGCAATTTTCTTTTAGGATGCCAAAGCAAATTGGATTAAAACAATAGCTGCCTGACCTGTTCCTTTTTTTTTTTCTGAATAAAAAAACACATTTTTTTCCTCAATTTATTCAACTCTTTTATTTATGTAATTTACAGGCATTTTTTTTCCTAATAAATGCTAATAAAAATTGTTACCTGGTTGACCTGCAGAAACATACGCTATGTGAAATGCCGATAATATCAATGGACAGCAAAAAGCCTCCTTATAGCAGCTCTTTATCTGTTTTTTTTTCTCACCCGCTCATTTTCATTACGGGGTCGATAAATATAAATAAGAAAGAATTGCAAAAAAAAAAAAAAAAAAAAAAAAAAAAAA